ATGCTGCTCAATGCCACAGATGCTGATCCACGCTTGGAGCAGTGGGATCCGCAAATTTCTCCAACATATCGCTGGATTCTTAAAATACAAACAGTCCTGGAGCCTGTCATTATAGCTCTCGGTAAGTAAATCAAGTCACTATAGCTCACGGTAGGTAGATCAAGTCATCATAGCTCTCTATAAGTAAATCAAGTCATTATAGCTCTCTATAAGCAGATTAAGTCATTATAGCTCTCTATAAGCAGATCAAGTCATTAGAGCTCTCTATAAGTAGATCAAGTCATTATTGCTCTCGGTAAGTAGATCAAGTTATTATAGCTCTCGGTAAGCAGATCAAGTCGTAATAGCTCTATATAAGTAGTTCAAGTCATTATAGCTCTATGTAAGTAGATAAAGTCATTATAGCTCTCAAGAAGTAGATCAAGTCATTATAGCTCTACGTAAGTAGATCAAGTCAATATAGCTCTACGTAAGTAGATCAAGTCAGTATAGCTCTACGTAACTAGATCAAGTCATTATAGCTCTACGTAAGTAGATCAAGTCGTTACAGCTCTCTATAAATAGTTCAAGTCTTTATAGATCTACGTAAGTAGATCAAGTCATCATATTTCTCAGGAAGTAGATCAAGTCATTATAGCTCTAGGTAAGTAGATCACGTTATTATAGCTCTTAGTAAGTAATTCAAGTCAGTTTAGCTCTAGGTAAGTAGATCAAGTCAATATAGTTTTCCGTAAATATATCTATAGCTCTCGGTGAGTAGATCAAGTCATTATTGCTCTTGCTAAGTAGATGAAATAATTATAGCTCTCTATAAGTCGATCAAGTCATTATAGCTCTCGGTAAGTAGATCAAGTCATTATAGCTCTCTATAAGCAGATCAAGTCATTATAGCTCTCTATAAGTAGATCAAGTCATTATAACACTCAGTAAGTAGATCACGTCATTATAGCTCTCTTTAAGTAAATCAAGTCATTATAGCTCTCTGTAAGTAGATCAAGTCCTTATAACTCTCTATAATTAGATCAAGTCATTATAGTTCTTTATAAGTAGAACAAGTCATTATTGCTCTCTTTAAGTAGATCAAGTCATTATCGCTCTCGGTAAGTAGATCAAGTCATTATAGTTCTCGGTAAGTAGATCAAATCATTGTAGCTATCTATTAGTAAATCAAGTCATTTTAGCTCTCTATAAGTAGATCAAGTCATTATAGCTCTCGGTAAGTAAATCAAGTCATTACTGCTCTCTATAAGTAGATCAAGTCATTATATCTCTTTATAAGTAGATCAAGTCATTTTAGCTCTCTTGAGGTAGATCAAGTGATTACAGATTTCGGTAAGTAGATCAAGTCATTATAGCTCTCGCTAAGTAGGTCAAGTCATTATAGCTCTCTTTAAGTAGATCAAGTCATTATAGCTCCCTATAAGTAGATCAAGTCATTATAGCTCTCTATAAGTGGATCAAGTCATTATAGCTCTCTATAAGTAGATCAAGTCATTATAGCTCTCTATAAGTAGATCAAGTTATTATAGCTCTGGGTAAGTAGATCAAGTCATTATAGCTCTCTATAAGTAGATCAAGTCATTATAGCTCTTTATAAGTAGATCAAGTCATTATTGCTCTCTATAAGTAGATCAAGTCATTATAGCTCTTTATAAGTAGATCAAGTCATTTTAGCTCTCTTTAGGTAGATCAAGTGATTACAGATTTCGGTAGGTAGATCAAGTCATTATAGCTCTCGCTAAGTAGGGCAAGTTATTATAGCTCTCTATAAGTAGATCAAGTCATTATAGCTCTTTATAAGTAGATCAAGTCATTATAGCTCTCTTTAGGTAGATCAAGTCATTATAGCTCTCGGTACATAGATCAAGTCGTTATAGCTCTCTATAAGTAGATCAAGTCATTATAGCTCTCTTTAAGTTGATCAAGTCATTTTAGCTCTTTGTAAGTAGATCAAGTCATTATAGCTTTCTATAAGTAGGTCAAGTCAATATAGCTCTCTATAAGTAGATCCACGACCAGCTCCAGAGTTATAAGGCCGTACAGCTCGAACGGGAATTCCCGTTCTTGTGCAAGAATTGAGTCCCTCTGCGTCCACAGTTTTTATCGAGGAGATGTATACACAAATTAAACTAAAGTTTCATTAATTTTCGACATATTTTATAGAACTATACGTCATTTTTAAGGTAAATAAGTGTGCCAATTAAATATAACAATAAAGGCTCTTACAGAAAAACAAAAATGCTTTTGCTACAGTCAAAAGGAACATAAACACCAATAACGTTTATATGTAAACTAAAAGTTGTTCCAGCAAAAGTAAAGAAATATCAGTGCTAACACTTTGATTCTGAGAGGGTATTGCTGCATCAGAGGAGCGGAAAAGGGGGGTGGGGGTGACATTTGTACTTTATCAAATTTAGCACATAAAAATACTGCTATGAAACATACACATATCATACATAACATAAATATAAATGATTGATGGTTATTATTATTATTAGTAGACTACTACAACATACAATTATACTGTTATTTAATAATTAGTAAACAAGCACAATCAGTATGAAATTGATATGTGCAATACTTTTTTTCACCCAGAATAGTTTTCGGGAAGCAAAGCAAAAGCCAGTTTACAAAATTTAACAGACCGTAGAACTGAAAATTTGCGAAAGAAGTGGATGAGCAACCAGAAGTTTCTGCAAGAGTTTACAGCCAGTGTTCGCGAAGCAAAGCAAAAGCCAGTTTACAAAAATTAACACAGACCATAGAACTGCAGATATGCAAAAGAAGTGGATGAACTACCAGAAGTTTCCGCAAGAGTTTACAGCCAGTGTTCGCGAAGTAAAGCAAAAGCCAGTTTACAAAAATTAACACAGACCGTAGAACTGCAAATATGCAAAAGAAGTGGGTGAACTACCAGGACTTATCCATGGTCAACCAGTGGGTCCGCAGCCCACTTGGACTTGTCCATGGCCCACCAATGGAGCCCTGCCCACCAGCTGAGAAACGATGTACTAGAGCTCAGTAAATAGATCAGTCAACGACTTGTGACCCAACGACACTGGCGTTATGTTAATATAGTCCGTTTCAAAAGTCGTACTAATTGTACACATGTAAAACTCAGTAACCTTTCATTGTAAATTGTAAATGTGGTATGCAAACTGTTTATAATCTTGTCCTTATAGGCAAATAATTATAATGTAAACAGTTAGTTTTTGTTTTGGCTTATTTGCGGACACCGACCATTTAGTTCTCACGTTTACAGTAATAGAGTGACACTAAGTTATCAAAACATAAATCTGCACGTGCTTTAGAGGTAATCCGTACGAAAGAAACGGTGTTTCACACCTAGGTTGTCAATCTCCTGCATGAACCCTCCGTGAATTAGATAAACACAATATTTCATTGGAGAGGCTATCTAAATAATCAACACACATCTATACATCTGTGAAATTATTTCCTAAGCAATCTCCACTTATGTCGTTAAAACTAAACGATTCGTGTCAATAATATTGTGCATAATATTGTGTTTTCACCTCATGGAACACATTATTAAACCAGCTCGCTAGCGGATCCGGACCGGGCGGTTGTAGGTTCAGATCGTGGCAGAAACGGACATTTTCCACAAATGAACTTGACTCCCAGGTCGACTCAATCAGGCACAGTCGTGGAAAGTAAAAGCGACCGGTCTGATGTTGACCACTACAATTTCAAATATTACAACACGGGGGCGTCGCTGCAAATAAATCCAGCAGGGGGAAAAGGGGAGGGGGGGGGGAGGCGTTTGTAATTTTCTTCAACGTGGTTCATGTTTAAGTGCGCAACAACAATTATTGCTAATATTATCATCATTATGGGCTAAATGACACAGGCACCTACAATAATTTATTCACAGACCATTTTTATAGATAACAGCTACTGCAGCAGCAACTTGACAGAATGATCAGATGATGTGAGGGATCAGGAACTAGAATCAGACCAGAAAAATCTTGTTATCCACTTTGACAGACGTCTGTCTATCCGATAATGTCATTACGAAGACTAATAGAGACCTGGCATCGCTCAAGACGATAACAGCAGAGAGACCTGGCACCGCTCAAGACGATGACAGCAGAGAGACCTGGCACCGCTCAAGACGATAACAGCAGAGAGACCTGGCACCGCTCAAGATGATGACAGCAGAGAGACATGGCACCGCTCAAGACGATGACAGCAGAGAGACTTGGCATCGCTCAAGATGATGACAGCAGAGATGCCTGGCACCGCTCAAGACAATGACAGCAGAGAGACCTGGCACCGCTCAAGACGATGACAGCAGAGAGACCTGGCACCGCTCAAGACGATAACAGCAGAGAGACCTGGCACCGCTCAAGACGATAACAGCAGAGAGACCTGGCACCGCTCAAGACGATGACAGCAGAGAGACCTGGCACCGCTCAAGACGATAACAGCAGAGAGACCTGGCACCGCTCATGATGATGACAGCAGAGAGACATGGCACCGCTCAAGACGATGACAGCAGAGAGACCTGGCATCGCTCAAGATGATGACAGCAGAGATGCCTGGCACCGCTCAAGACAATGACAGCAGAGAGACCTGGCACCGCTCAAGACGATGACAGCAGAGAGACCTGGCACCGCTCAAGACGATAACAGCAGAGAGACCTGGCACCGCTCAAGACGATGGCAGCAGAGAGACCTGGCACCGCTCAAGACGATGGCGGCAGAGAGACCTGGCACCGCTCAAGACGATGGCGGCAGAGAGACCTGGCACCGCTCAAGACGATGGCAGCAGAGAGACCTGGCACCGCTCAAGACGATGGCGGCAGAGAGACCTGGCACCGCTCAAGACGATGACAGCAGAGATGCCTGGCACCGCTTTTCACAAATGAACTTGACTCTCAGGTCGACTCAATCAGGCACAGTCGTGGAAAGCAAAGGCGACCGGTCTGATGTGGACCACTACAATTTCAAATATTACAACACAGGGGCGTCGCTGCAAATAAATCCAGCAGGGGGGAAAGGTGGGGGGGGGGGGGGGGGGGGGGGGAGAGCCGCTTGTAATTTTCTTTAACGTAGTTCATGTTTAAGTGTGCAACAACAATTATTACTAATATTATCATAATTATGGGCTAAATGACACAGGCACCTACAATAATTTATTCACAGACCATTTTTATAGATGATAACAGGTACTGCAGCAGCAACTTCCTCTCCCTTGTGTATAAAGTTGTTCATTCTTTGCCATCTGACATTCTCTCAGTATGCCCAACCATTTCAGTCTTTTAGCTCTTATGATGCCAGTGATTAGTGGTGATTTCAACAGATTATGAATTTCATTGTTGCATCTCTCTCCATTCACCACTGGTTGCATCTCCTATGGGTCCAAAGATTCGTAGTAAGACTCTGTTTTCGAAAACCTGTAATAAGGTATACACAAGGGAGACGAATGGTCGTAGACCACGAGGCAGACCAAGGAAACAATGTAGAGATAATGTCTAGACAGACCTGCAAACACATGGTGTCACCAAAATGGAAAGAGAAGGTCAACCAGAGAGATGAATGGAGGCAGGTGATATCTGCAGGAATTGACCTCAAGGGCTCGGCATACTGAAGAAGAGGAAGAACTGTGCAAGTGCCTCTCTAAGAGGCGCTATTTCCTGTTTGCTGTGCTCCAAGTTTTAGAGCCATATAAAACGACTAGTCTTATCAACGTGTTATATATTTTGAGATTGCATGGTTGATCTTAGCTTGCGTGGTTGATCTTTGCTTGCATGGTTGTTTACGCAGGGATAGTGAAAGACTCGGTGAACATGCTTAAGAAGATCGAAACCGGCAAACTCCAATTAAAATATGTTAAGAGCGTCCAGAAATCTCTTTCGAAGAAACTATTTTGCCTATACACACTCGAGGACACATTGGGGGGAAAGGGAATGCATGAGCTGTCATAGTGGCCGTGTCTGCTGTAGTTAGTGAGGGAGAACTATAGGACGGGCAAACATAATGAATGCGCCGCGTTAGACAGACGTTGAGACAAATGAGCCAGAGAAGTTGAACCGTTTGTTGGAAGTGGGTATTAAACGAGAACAAGCATGCAGAAAATGGCTGTGATGTAAACAGAGAGATAACGTCAGTAAACTCCTCTGTACCATTGGTAAAGAGACACGCTGCTATGGCTGCGGCATCGGCGGACGGAGCATGAATGGGTTGGACAGATGTGCTAGGATATCGATAAAGTGTGCTTTCTTAAAATCCTGCCCCAAACAGAGAAAATCCATAGGTCACGGGACAGTCTAACATTTCAGGGGGTGGTTGATAGGTTGTATGCAACAGTAGGACCTAAGCTGCATGCAGTCGTGCGACCTAGGATGTACTCTCTCGTGGGATACAGGTGGGTTGGTGTTAGGGCCAGTTTTAGATGTTTTGGAGTCGTTAAAAGTATCAGAAAGCCGGGAAACCCAGTCTTACCACCTTTTAAAATGTTGCAGTTCTTTGACGTCATCCCAGGTGTGGAATATTACGAAAGAACCGGATAAATACAATAAGTAACATAGTTAGGTCGGGGGACACCTAATCCCCTTGCAATTGTTTTAAGGGTGGTCTGACTCCTTCCCAAAGATTTAGGAGGGTGTGATGGTTAGTCGTCCGACTAAACAATTCGGGTAAGAGGCTGCTCAAAGTCCCTGAGCTCTCAACTTGCAGATCTTACTCTTGAACAGCTGCGTATATTACTGATATACCACAACAACTGCTGCTGCTACTGCTGCTACTACTATTACTACTGCTACACTGACGTCACCACTAACTACTCTTATCAAGTTCTTCTTTTTCAGTTTTCGCTCTCTTGAAAAAAATTATCTATATCTGCAATGTTGTTATTATCATGTGTCTTTCATCCCAAGGAATACTCGGGAACTCGCTGGCAAGTCACGTGTTCATGTCTAAACATTTGAGGACGACCTCTTGCTGCCTGTACCTGGCAGCCAAGTGTATCGGCGACACCATCTTCCTGATCGCCCTGTCCGTTGTTTGGCTGCATAGAGTGGACGCCCCTCTCCTCAACACACCAGGTGTCTGTCAGGTAATTTGTGCATATCTGTTCATGGTGCTCTTTGCTTGTGTGTTTGTGTGTGTGTCTTTTAGGTAAGTGGAATAAGTCTGTTCATGTCTCTCTATTTGTGTGCATCAGTGGTTAAAAACTGTCATCAATGGCGAAGTCGTAAACTAAGTAGCATTATCGTTATATAGTGCCTTGTCAGCTGGCGTAGGCGTTCATGCATGTCCACAAATCTCAATCTTTGGTGTTTGGGATTAATTTCACTGACAATATTCCCCCATGCCACTGTCTCAAGCCTTCCACTATAATTTCTCTTGGTCTGCCTCTGCATCTTCTACCAGTGATCTTTCCAGTCGTCATATTTTCCAGTGCTCCTTTTCTCATCACATGACCAAAGAAATGTGTTTCCCTCTCGTTGATGTATATAATGTTATACCTTCATTTGCCACTTCCAGAGAATCGTTGTTAGTTATTCTGGCAGTCTACGGTATTCGCAATATTCTTCTCAAGAACCACATTTTAGTTGCCTGCAAATTTCTCCTAATTTGTTTGCTCACATTCCAACCTTGATTGCAACACAACAGAACAGGCTCTGTGTAACATTTCAGATACAGTATATAGCGAGACTTGACAGACTGCATAAGTGTCTGTTTTAAATGTCTATATTTCAACACTTGGCGTCTTTGTAAAGTACGGTTTGTGAGACTGATGAGTTAAGGTAGGGGTTGTGAGCCTAATGATTGAAGGTACTGGTTGTGAGACTGATGATTGAAGGTACGGGTTGTGAGACTGATGATTGAAGGTAGGGGTTGTGAGACTGATGATTGAAGGTACGGGTTGTTAGACTGATGATTGAAGGTACGGGTTGTTAGACTGATGATTGAAGGTACGGGTTGTTAGACTGATGATTGAAGGTAGGGGCTGTGAGACTGATGATTGAAGGTACGGGTTGTTAGACTGATGATTGAAGGTACGGGTTGTTAGACCGATGATTGAAGGTAGGGGTTGTGAGACTGATGATTGAAGGTACGGGTTGTTAGACTGATGATTGAAGGTACGGGTTGTTAGACTGATGATTGAAGGTAGGGGCTGTGAGCCTGATGATTGAAGGTAGGGGCTGTGAGCCTGATGATTGAAGGTACGGGTTGTGAGCCTGATGATTGAAGGTAGGGGTTGTGAGCCTGATGATTGAAGGTAGGGGCTGTGAGCCTAATGATTGAAGGTACTGGTTGTGAGACTGATGATTAAAGGTAGGGGTTGTGAGCCTGATGAATGAAGGTAGGGGTTGTGAGCCTGATGATTGAAGGTACGGGTTGTGAGACTGATGACTGAAGGTACGGGTTGTGAGACTGATGATTTAAGTTCACTTGGCTGTCAAAGAACTTTGTTCGCTTGGCTGTCAAAGAACTTTCTTTACTTGGCTGTCAAAAAACATTGTTCTCTTGGCTGTCAAAGAACTTTGTTCGCTTGGCTGTGTAAGAACATTGTTCACTTGGCTGTCATAGAACATTGTTCACTTGGCTGTCATAGAACATTGTTCACTTGGCTGTCAAAGAACTTTCTTCGCTTGGCTGTCAAAGAGCGTTGTTCACTTGGGTGTCATAGAACATTGTTCACTTGGCTGTCACAGAAGATTGTTCACTTGGCTGTCAAAGAACATTGTTTACTTGGCTGTCATAGAACATTTTTCACTTGGCTGGCAAAGAACTTTGTTCGCTTGGCTGTCAAAGAACTTTGTTCACTTGGCTGTCAAAGACCTTTGTTCACTTGGCTGTCAAAGAACTTTGTTCGCTTGGTTGTCAAAGAATTTGTTCACTTGGCTGTCAAAGAACATTATTCACTTGGTTGTAAAAGAACATTGTTCACTTGGCTGTCAAAAAACATTGTTCACTTGGCTGTCAAAAAACATTGTTCACTTGGCTGTCAAAGAACATTGTTCACTTGGCTGTCATAGAACATTGTTCACTTGGCTGTCAAAGAACATTGTTCACTTGGCTGTCAAAGAACTTTCTTCGCTTGGCTGTCAAAGAGCGTTGTTTACTTGGCTGTCATAGAACATTGTTTACTTTGCTGTCATAGAACTTTGTTCACTTGGCTGTCAAAGAACATTGTTCACTTGGCTGTCAAAGAACATTATTCACTTGGCTGGCAAAGAACTTTGTTCACTTGGCTGTCAAAGAACATTGCTCGTTTGGCTGTCAAAGAACATTGTTCACATGGCTGTCAAAAAACTTTGTTCACTTGGCTGTCATAGAATATTGTTCACTTGGCTGTCAAAGAACATTGTTCACTTGGCTGTCATAGAACATTGTTCACTTGGCTGTCAAAGAACTTTGTTCACTTGGCTGTCAAAGAATATTGTTCACTTGGCTGTCAAAGAACATTATTTACTTGGCTGTCATAGAACATTGTTCGCTTGGCTGTCATAGAACATTGTTCACTTGGCTGTCAAAGAACATTATTCACTTGGATGTCAAAGAACTTTGTTCACTTGGCTGTCATAGAACATTGTTTACTTGGCTGGCAAAGAACATTGTTCACTTGGCTGGCAAAGAACTTTGTTCGCTTGGCTGTCAAAGAACTTTGTTCGCTTGGCTGTCAAAGAATATTGTTCACTTGGCTGTCAAAGAACATTATTTACTTGGCTGTCATAGAACATTGTTCGCTTGGCTGTCATAGAACATTGTTCACTTGGCTGTCAAAGAACATTATTCACTTGGATGTCAAAGAACTTTGTTCACTTGGCTGTCATAGAACATTGTTTACTTGGCTGGCAAAGAACATTGTTCACTTGGCTGGCAAAGAACTTTGTTTGCTTGGCTGTCAAAGAACTTTGTTCGCTTGGCTGTCAAAGAACATTGTTCACTTGGCTGTCATAGAACATTGTTCACTTGGCTGGCAAGGAACATTGTTCACTTGGCTGGCAAAGAACTTTGTTCGCTTGGCTGTCAAAGAACTTTGTTCGCTTGGCTGTCAAAGAACTTTGTTCACTTGGCTGTCAAAGAACATTATTCACTTGGCTGTCAAAGAACATTGTTCACATGGCCGTCAAAGAACTTTGTTCACTTAGCTGTCATAGAACATTGTTCATTTGGCTGTCAAAGAACATTGTTTGCTTGTCTGTCATAGAACATTGTTCGCTTGGCTGTCAAAAAACATTGTTCACTTGGGTGTCAAAGAACATTGTTCACTTGGGTGTCAAAGAACATGATTTGCTTTGCTTCAAAAAACTTTGTTCACTTGGCTGTCAAAGATTTTCCCCAGTGAAGACGCCTGGGTCTCTATTAATTTTAAAGGTATGTCACGCACCCCATACTTGGGAATAGTCATATTTCAACAACAACAACAACAACAACAACAATAACAACAAATTTAGAAAGATAGTTTAAGCTCCTTTCCCCCTCTCTGATGATCTCTTAAATCTGTCCTGCTGACACCCCTTGGGAACCACTAGTCTAGTAGATTAGACGTTCACTGCGTTTGAAGTGGAAGGGAGAAACTTTATTCCAGAGGCCTGGCTTATCAAACATTGTCTCCCCCTATGGACACTTTATTACACATAGTCTTGGCTTATCAAACATTGTCTCCCCCTATGGACACTTTATTACACAGAGTCTTGGCTTATTAAACATTATCTCCCCCTATAGACACTTCATTCCACATGCCTGGCTTATCAGACATTGTCTCACTCTATAGACACTGCATTAGACAAAGTCGTGTCTTATACGACGTGGTCTCTCTCCAGACATTTCATTACACAGGGTCTTGTCTAATACCACGTGATCTCCATCCATAGATATTTAAGAACCCAGTGTTTTGGCTTATCAAACATTGTCTTCCTCTATAGACACTTCATTACACGGAGTTTTGGATTATCAAACAGTGTCTCTCACCATAGACACTTCATTACACGGAGTTTTGAATTATCAAACAGTGTCTCTCACCATAGACACTTCATTACAGAGGGTCTTGTCTGATCAAATGATCAAATATTGTCTCCCTCCGTAAATCACCACCGCTATAGCTGCAGTGACGACCTCTGCGGTAAAGAGAGCAACTGTTCCTCAACAAAACGTTTTGGACAAGAGCCTGTGGCATTAGACCTGGCCACTTGTCCATGGAACACTCTTCCCACTCCATCTAATGATGTATCCTCTAAGTAGTTTTGATAATTTCATATTGTAATTAATTTACATTTCTCATATCCAATTCCCCAGAACCCAGCGATGACATAACTTCATAGGCAGACACCAGACTTTCCTTCCTCATTCTGTTTACTTCTGTCACACCAGTATAGAATTTCATTATTCCACTGTTTTGCCGTCAAGTACATTTGATTTGTTCTTGTTGCTGGCATTAAAAAAGTACATAATCCACGTGAAATAGTACACTTCCTTGTCCCGTACTGAACCCGGGGTTCCTTGTTTGCGTGCACTTCTTCCTGTTTCTAACGTTTTTTTTCATGGCTATTTTGAATTATTTACCTCTGGAACGCTTGGTTGCTGTAATTCACAGGTGCCCATTTCCCGTTTTGATGGTCTCGAAGGTGAAATAAAAGTTTTTTTTTTTTTTTTTTTTTTTTTTAAATGTTTAATTTCAACGTTTATGTTAATGTGAAAATTCTTTTGCAGGTAAACCAGTACAACCGTGTTTGGCATAGTCGTCTTCTTACTCTCCATGCCGTGTGGCGGTGGCGGTCATGTCTATCCCCTGTTTTTGTTTCCTGAATGTTTAGTCAATTCCCGTACATAATTTTCTTTATTACTTCTAACTTTCCTCTTTCAAATATTTGTGTTTTTTTTTTTTTTCAAGAGATAACACGGGACTGAGTTTCTTTCAGGATTGAGGAAAAGTGGAAGGATGCTGGATTGTAATGAAAACGTGTGAAGGCCCAGCTACATGATGATGATGATGATAATGAGTAATTATAATGATGATGATGTCTTTTTATGTGGCTAGAAGTTGTTTATTTTGTCCCCCCCCCCCCACCCCCCACCTTTTTCCGTTTTGTTTTGTACATTTTT